ACTGGGGTATCTCGAGAAGCCCTGATACCACGTAGTCCTTAGTAAGGAGGTCCCATCCACTGTCTTCTCGTGGTAGAGTTGCTTCCGTTAAGGTAAAGAGACGAAATCTGGTGTCCAGCACTACAGCGCAGTTAACGGTTTATCGGTTACTTCTCTAAAAGAGTCCACTAAATCCTGAATTTAGCTAGACAGCGGTATGAGTAGATGACAGTGTTCAACGTCAAAACAACCGCCCTTCCTGACAGATCTCATCATACTACTCTACCTTGCAGTCCTTACCTTGTCGTATGGTGGCTGGAGGTAAAGTCTCGAGCAAAGCATCCCATACCAAACCCCCAAGAAAATTCCGGTTAGGGGCTCCTCTCGCGCTAAGGCGCTGGCATGAGTGAAGTATGCTCTTCCCCAGTAGCTGAGGTAATCTGAATGCAAGCTGAAAAACTAAACCTTAGTAGACTCGTTCATTCCGGGTATTAAAAGTTAGGTACCCCACTGAATGTTAACAGCCAAGCCTTTATTATGCGTACCCTTCAGGAGTTTGCAGCACGTGTAAACTTCATATAAATTCCTAAGACCTGGACAGAGCTTCCATAGATTTATAGTTAATGGGACAGGCTACCTGTTCTGGGTTTTTATCACAACGGCACGGTAGACAGCTTTGGTCAACATGATGTAGTCTTTGTACGTAATAATCGGGCTCAAAACTCACTACTGGCAATAAAACCGATCATGGCGTCCATTTCAACGGCAATTTTCAAAAGGTTACCATCTTCTATCGTACTTGTAGTAATAGTATTCATATCGAGACTTGGTTCAGAGCAGCACACCAAATATCAGTTTTAGGAGGATCGCCAAGCTGCTGCTATTTGCTGCGAGGTGTGACTCACTTGCGATCGCTGGTGGCTGGAATGCTCGAAAAGGATCGAGTGTCATATTTTTGTAAGGTTGTCATTGTCGTTGCTGTAAAATGATGAAAGGCTCGTCAAATTTTCCAAATTTAATCGGTCGTTGCTTCCGAAACCCGAGGAAGTGATTATTAAACTGGCGCTTCAAGTGCTCGTCACCTAGTCCTATTCAGATGGTTCTCATGCGTTGAGTCTTTGAGTGTCTTTAGAGACAGAAGCAGGAACCAAGAAGAATAGGATTATTTCATTTCACTAGACCTTAGACGTCACACAACAACTCATCTGAAATCTATTTCTGTTGGAAAATATAACACTGCCATCTATCCTGACAGTCTCAATAAGTAGCAGTCTCTGTCTGACGCTGTCCGCGAAAAATTTGTTGCAGGCGATGTAGCTGTCGATGCGACCATCTCTCCGATGGAGAACATTTTCTACGTGTTGACAGTTAGAGATGCTAACTAAATTTTTAGCTACGGTCTTTGGCTGTTTCTTAAGCGTACATCTAGCAAGCGATTCAAGTTCAGTGTGTTAGTACGGCAGTGAAGCATCAGTGCCAACACTGATGTTGCTGTCTTTGGTGATGATGATGATGTGTTAGCTATAAAGACACTGATGAGATCACATTAGATTCACTTTTATAGTCATCGTTTGCTTGCATTTTTATGATGTGCTTGAAACATACTAGAGAGAAGTTTACCACCAAAGATTCCACGTTACGCCTGATACACAGGCAATATATTCAACCCACTGGGTTATAACTAATAGCTTATCAGAACTTTGTCTAGCCAGCCATCTCATTAGCGTCAGAGTGGCGAATTCAACTAGATGGAATTATGGCATGAATCAACAGGCAATCTACTAAAAAGTCACCCTGACTAGACGGTATACGTTTTTGCAGATATATGAATCTCAGACGAGAAAAGAAGTTAGTCTAAGCCCTGGTTTAGTGAACTCTGACGTCTAGACTTGTTCAAGGCTGAACTGACTAGGATAAGTTACATTTTATGGGAAAACGGCTGGGTGAGTGAATTCTCCACTAAACACGCCATTCAGTAGGTGTCGAAAGTAGAAAGCTGCTTATCGTTCAAGATGTTTCTACGTTTGCCGTACCTGTGAATTCTTAGCGTCACCCTAAGTACACACTGATCAAATTTGAATGCAAATTTGAATGTCATTCATAGTTTCCGTATGGGTCTTTCAAAATTATTCTAAAAGTCTCCTATGACGGTTTTTTTCCTTATGGCATAATGTTCTGTGGATATGGTGACATGAACAGCAAGGAATCTGTCAACGAGCATTGAAAGGTCTCTCTCCAGTCATATTTCAAATGGATATATCAAAGCCAGTCCGCACTTAGTTGACAACCAAATGCTTTGGATTGGCGAACCGGTAAACGCGGACACTGATTTTAAATAGATATATGGGATGCAGGCAGCTGACGCCTTCCGAACCGGAAGGGATAGCCATCCATCTGTTCACCAGATTTCGGTGTTCACAAAAGGTACTATAGTCCAGGCATCCAGAAGTTATTGTTTGCATTTTTAAAATGAAACGGATGTACACGCGTTCCTAAACGGTTTCCTGGAATTTATCAACTATTTTGTGGACAACTTACAGCCATAAAGCTCGCAACGCGCAGTAGAGTACAGAATGTTTGAGCACCATCTTTGCAGTTTGAAAGGTGCATATGTTTGGTCAGTTGCTGCTCCTAGAAGCATCACTGATCGCGTGCGTTGCACTTTGTTGAGAGCTATCTTGCATTTGCGAGATCCAGGTCTTAGTGGGATGTTCTGAGGTGCCTTGTAGAAAGCACATTCTGTTGTTTCAGAGTCGTAGGTGTTATAAATATGCCACAGAAAATATATATTAAGGCCATCCAGAAAAAGGATCCCTGGTAAAATGACGTGTTTTGCCTACTAAACTTCACCTTTAATCGCAAACTGAGGTGGTTGTGTCATACTCTGAACCACAAATTACTTCGCTGTCCACCACTCAGGGAGTTTTCATCCTAGCCGGATTTATCGCGGAGGAAACTGTTGTAATCCACTGATATCCAGAGAACCAAGCAACACATCAAAGTGAACTACGTACAAATTAAGCCAGAATTATCATGCTTCCTGCAACTCTTCGGTATGTCTGTAGGTCACCCAAAAGCACCGACCCCGCAGACACCATGGACACGAATGTGTAGCATTTGTAGAAAGTCGTTACATATTTTTACATTCAGATATATAAATATATACTACACAATAGCCCTATTAAAAGCAACTCTTAGATTGGGTTTGGCTTTGGGAATGCTTGCTCTAAAGTTAGGCATTTTGCCTGGGAAGGATTCTGATGCAGTCAAAGAGTACGCGGAGTATTATTTCGTGTAATAATGCAACAGTACTCTTGTTCTACTAGCAACAAATGACTATCTGGCTGTTTTCATGCCATTCTTTTACCTATAAAGCTTATTTCTTGTTAAAAGTATTTTCAGAGGCTACTTGTGAACGCGGTCCGTTTAACACTGGAGTTGTTGTAAAAGACAAAACACCTTCTGGGACAAATAACTTGTGCACAAACATCAGTGATGAGTCCTGTGGGTTCGTGTGCTGATACCGGCTTACAGGTCTGAGCCTAATGTTCGGCATTCTGGCATGCCGGCGTCAGGTAGAGAAGCTCCGTTTGGTATCATGTCATTTTAAGCAGCAAGTAAGCTAATCAGTGAAGACTGGTCCATTTATTCACATACTAAATAGCTAACACAAAAATTTTTGGTACATTTCAAAGGGTTCCGTTTATTTTGAAAGTGGAAGCGTTGGTTTTTGCAGAAAATCTTTGTACTCTTTCTTGATGAAGGACCACGAAAGGCGTGATAAACAAAGTAAAAGCGTTCCGGCCTTGTTTTACCTACTTTCATAAGCTATATCGAATGAACTCAATTAAGGTACCAGTTTAGCAAGCAACAAGACGTCAGTGCATTAAAATATGATGGTAATTCAGTGGCGATGACTCAGTAAGATTTGGCAGGATATTTTATTGTCGTTTGCTTGTTCTCTGAGCTGGGCATTTTGATTGCAAACGTTTCATCACCAATCGAGGTGACATCATCAGTGCGTTATTGGGGAGCGCAGTGGTGCCCAATGGTGGGTTGGTGGTTGTGCGTTGAGTAGTCTTAAACGCGTGTTAATATTTACGTGCTGCTGGCAGGGGAACAACGTGACATACCAACTCAACTGCAACAACTGCAACAAAGTCTGCGTCGGACAAACTCGAAACAGACTATGCAAATGAATAAAGGAACACAACACGGCCGTCAGGAGACATGACACACTGTCCTTGATATCTATACACGAGGACCAAGAAGGCCACTAATTCAATCTAAAAAAAAAAACAAGAATTTTGGCATACGGATACACGCGACACGGAAGAGAATTTCTAGAAGCATGGTACTCCACGGCAGGTTCGATCAACCGGCGCATCGAACTGGATCCAATTTACGCACCTCTACATGCAAAAGACCAACATCTCAACCGAGACACCCAAGGAGGACCGAATATTGGATTCACAAACAAAGAACCAAGGAACCCTTTAAGTCAAATCAACAAAGGCCACAAGCCGGGACTCGGAAGGACAAAGGTCACTCCAACATCGACCAGATTACGACAGCGGATGATGCCCAGCTCAAAGGTCACGTGGGCAGCGGCGAATGAGGACACGGGCTGACAGAGCAACCAACGGAACCACCCGATCGAACAACTAATTGCCATCAAAGGTCATCCCCGGCTAGCAGCACGTATGTAATAACACACACGTAACACTACTCAACGCACAACCAATAACCCACCAATACGCACCGCTACGCTCCCCAATAACGCACTGATGTCACCTCGGTTGGTGACGAAACGTTTGCAATCAACTTGCCCAGCTCAGCGAGTCAGCTGCCTGAGCTACTAACATTCTCCTCCATTGGATATTTTATGCTCACCAAGCGAGTCCGTTGTGATTGGATAGAAATTTCGAAAATTCATTGGTCGTTCGCCAATCCTATACAAACATATGTATCGCGAGAACACTCGGATTAGATTAACAACGTCTGTCATCAGGCCAGCAGCAATGCCGGACAGTTCAGAAAAAACACGGGAACAACTGCAAGCATGTGCAAAAAGGATGCATGTTTCAGAAAACCTGGACAATATATTGTGTGATTTGTTCACTGTTGTCGGATGGTCCTGTGCCTATATTCTACCGATTGTGTGTGGGGTTGGCTTTCTGGGAACCTTGATGATCATCATAGTTATAGTGAGATCACCACAACAACTCACTCGACAGTTAATCTATCTGGTCTGTATGCTTATATCTGGTTTGTTCACAAACATACTGATCGCCTGGTTACGTCTGTTCCCAACAAGAGGACTACCATACGCCACAAACGGAGAGGAGTTCTTCGACATTAGATATGTCAGTCCTGCCTCATGCACGTTCTTCAGCATTTTGGCCGATTTATCCTTTGCTTCATATTCGAATTTCCTTATTATAGCCAGTTTAGATCGTTTTATGTCCATCTATTTTCCAGTCAAAATGATGGGCATACATACACGCCATGCCTGGATAGCAGCGGGACTAGCCGCATTGTTCACTCTTCTAACTATCTTACCAACATCAGTAAATACCAGCTGGCTTACTGTAGGTGCAAAGCGTATCTGTTGGTTTAAAAAAGGTCACACTGCATCCCTCGTTATCAATCAATTGTTTTCTTTCATTATTCCCCCGTTTGCAATTGTGATTTTGAACGTGCTTTTCTATGGACGTATAAGAATAGTATACAGCCGGCGTGGTAAAGTTGGATGCAACTCTACTGAATCCCAACAACTCAACGCATCTCTCACTCTGTTTCTCCTCTCTACCTTCTATGTGATTTTCTCAATGCCAGCAACTATTCTTGTTTTTAATGCACTGGCAAATCTCGGCAAGGCTTCAAAACTCAATCGTCAAGTTCAGATATCCAGAGCTATTTTGAACCTACTATGGGAGCTATTCTTTTTGCGAGAGTTGACCAATATTGTCATAATATTCTTTCAGGTTCCAGTTGCACGTTCTTTTGCTCGGGATAGACTGATTACAGTGAACAAATATTGTGTTCAGTTACGTAAGAAAATGAAGTTGGCGACTGGCAAGGAAGTTAATACACTGGATGGGAAATCAAAGGAGGAAAAATCAATGGATTAGTTATTTCATTTTGTTCTGAAGGTAAAGCATTCATATTCATTTCGGACACTTTCATAAAAAAAGTTCCTATTCGTGTAAAGGTTCTGCTAGTTAGACATCCTATTTGCTGATTGGCAATTATTTATCCGTTGTCATTACCTATCAAGTTGATTTCTCTAGTCTTTGGCAAAGTTTCTCGTTTTTTGCGTATCCTACGAGCTTTTTGTTTTCTGCTCGCTTATCACAGCATTTCTGATTAAAATGTTCTTGATAATCAAATTTTCATTCAGACATAGCTTGGGTATTCATAAGTTTCTGACATTCAGCATAAATCTTTGTTGGGGAACACGGAATAGTGACAGTCGAATAACATTGTAAACAGCCTCCGAAAATATCAACTACCACTTGTGTCCAAGTTTGGCCAAGCTTCTCTCAGAATATGTGATGAACAATGAACCATGCATAAGGCTATTTAATTTTATCGCATCCTGACTCACTTGTGCAAGATGTGTGTAACTTCCGGAGCTGGTAAATACCTAATTGTGAATATACTGGGACCAATAATATCTGTTTTATAATGTCAATCTGAAATAAAGTTTTGTTGAACTGAAACGTTGGTCTGAACTTTCTGATTCACATACATGTGCAGTGAATAATTGCTAACGATGATCGGAAGCGAACTAGATGATTCGATGATAATTGGTGGCCAAATTCGCAACCAAAATTCACTGATGTCATGACAGCTAACTTGAGAATCTTTTACTGGTTTAATTGTCTACCACTAGACTCTACTTGCTTAATGCTTGCAACAAGTTTTACGCTACTATTTTCTCAGTCAGTGGTTGCAGTACTTGAAAGTAGTGCTGTTAACATCGTTTGATCTTCAATCATTTCGATCCCGACGCCAATTCTTTTCAGGAATCCTCGCACTCCCCAAAGTAGACAAAGAACACAGTAGCACGCGGCAACAGCTGTGATTCATGTACAGTTCTCTCCGTATAGGAAACCAGTGCCCTTTTTTAAACAAGACCTATGCTTAAAGAATTACGGCATACAAAATCCAAGCCAGTGTGATTTATATGAAGTGGATTGACTGTAACACAGATGAAGCTTAAAATCCCAAAAGTGTAAAAGGTACAATCTGCTTCGTAAGTTAAGGAGCACGCGAAGTACACTGGAAGGTATCCCAGCTGAATACAACCTTGGAAAATAAAAACTCAGTAAACTTTTCATTCCATGATCCACAAGAGACACCAACCACTAAGTTGTACAATTCATAGTGCACTTGCTTTAGGGGATCATATTTGTAACAACTGGCCACTTCCTTCCAACCGGCATTCATCATGCAGGTACGTAGTACAGTTGTTATATTTTATTCAGGCCATTCGCTGAACCTAACGGGTTCCGTGATCAGGCGCAATTAGGAAACCAACCCCGACTAAAAGGTATGACCTTAAATTTTTGTAACAGTAAAAGTACGTTAGGCAAACAGAACCAAAGACCCACTGGTATGCTGTGTTAAGCGAAGATATATCTAGTTTTCGTTGTGGACGATAAGTCAATCGTGGTAATTTGCACTCTTTAAGGTGTGACAGTTGAACTCAGCAATTTGATTAGTGGAACAAAATGTCGGCTGATCACCGAGTTCCAAAACAGTAGGTACAACCATGTGATGACTCACCGACTCCTCCCATAGCGCTTCGCTCCTCCACAGGCAGTCCAGTGCCGAACACCCCCCTCGGCCCCCGAAAGTCAACACCACAATAATCGGAGACTATTTTTGCACCCGGAGTAACCGATTGGTTGCTTGTGCACCGTTGGATTTGTGACATTCATTTCCGGTCCTGAGATATTCCTATCATTCTATGGTATGGATTAGCAGATCTTCCAAGCGAAAGCACTCATCTTTATGGACAGGGTGCATTTGTACTTTCACTAGTTTAGTGGCTTCAAATATACTGGATGCCACTGTATCGTATGTTACAAATGAAACCTGTTCAACAGAGGGATGAATTAATCTAGCGAAATTGTGTTAATATTATCCAACTGAGTAAGATGGTTATAAAATCCACTCAAGGTATAGAACACTTAAGACAGCGTGAACGCGTTTGCCTGTTCAGACGTGAGAATTCAGATGCATCCAACGTGTACTGGTGGAACAGTGATAACACGTTGGCCTCGCATGTCACGTGTCCGGAGCTCAAACCCTGGAGAGGCCATTAGATATGCATTGCTGCTGAGCTCTAATAAGAGCGAAACTCTAGTCCAGTGCTCCTCCCCCTCTTGGTGTGGATTCACCAAAGTGATTGCGCCAGGACAGGAGGATGACTGTTCAAACGAGGGTGATGTGAATGTGAACAAGACGGAATTGTTAGGCTTGAATGTCGCACCAGAAAAGGGATCATTTTGTCATATGTTATAAATATTCCTACAGTGCTCTAGACAGATTCTACACAGAAAATCACTTTTAGCAACGCTTTCTCAGAGAGGGACTTCCTTGAGCAGGTTGCCATATTGATTTCTATTGTGGTAAGTTGGATATGCTTAAGCTAGCAACCGCCAACACAGCAGAAATATTAAGCGGTTCACAGTAGATGCAAAATGACATGGCAAACAAGTATCAGGGGAACTTAAGGATTACTATTTCGAAATAGCCTCAGATGTTTCTCACAGTCAACCTATTAAATTCCATGTAAACTACTTGCTAACTTTCAACTATCGACAAATTTAGGTAATTTAACCTCACCCGCACACCACAACCAGCGGAATGGTTCCGCGAGTGTCCTTCAAATCCAAGCTGAGATAATAAAATTTCGACTGTTTCAGGTATTCAAAGGTTTTTGTGACCGTATGAGCAGTTCAATGTACGGACAATATAAAGGATTCTGATCTGTTACATTACTCAACAAATGAGATTGAATGACTAACACAGTGCAGGTCCATTATTTTCTGAGCATGACTGATCCTTGGATAGTCCACCAATTGTCGGTTTGCCTACTAAAGGGATTTATGGGAAGTGGCTCTGAAATGGATTTAAGGAAGCAAGCTACTTACAAAAGCTTGAGTACATTTCCACTATGATCATCCTTTCCTTATTCTTAATGGACGCGGCCTCACATTAAACATCCGTAAGATTTTCTCTCTTCCTATTTTTCATCGAGGGTACGCTTTCCACAACTCCTATTTCTTGACTGAAAACTTCTGTATCAATTGAACAATAAGTTTGGGGTGTCACTGTTCAATAGTAAAAAGATTATTAGCCTTTCAAAGCCACTACTTTTAAGTTTGGTGTTAAGTTTGAGCGTACCATCCCTATTTTGACTTTTTCGGTGGTTCCTGAGGTAGATCAAGTCCTAAATTTCTTTCAGCATAAATTTTGCACTTGAAAGACAAAATGTGGGTGAAAATATATCTACTGGTTAATGGTGCAGTTACAGGGAGATACACTATAACTGAATCCGTCATTTATAAAATTGTTCAATTAATAGGCCACTTTATGTTTCAGCAGGGACGAAAACCAAGATGAGAAAGTATAATGCGTGAGAGATATGGCTGAGGTTGTACTAAGTCAGCGCCAACTTACGTTGCTTATGAATGCCCGTCTACATCAGTTCCCTCTTTTGAGTGTTTAACTACGCAATATGATGGATGGAAGTTAGGGACCTGGTGTCATCTTGCAAGTCCCAAAACGAACAAGACCAGCAGTCGTTCGCACCAGATTTTTCCTGTCATATTGAGAAATATTATCGGATCTCTTGACTATAGATCCAGCTGCTACATTAGACGGCCTTATACAACATATTCAGGCGCTAAAATCAAAGGACGCTTGCTTAGATATAAGCAAGCTTTTTTTATTCACTTATGGGTTGTGCTCCGTATTGTCAAACCACCGAAGCCTTCTTCGCTTTCTACGGATTCAATTACCTTGGATGAAATCTGCATTTCCTTATAACATAAATGCATCTTTTTGTAAAGTGTTAAAGGTTTATTTCCAATGATATTTTTTAATATATCTTATTACACAGTAACTCGGAGCCATCGGGACAGCGCCACCGGATACTACACTATCCTTGAAACTGACGTTTCAATCCATCTGATTAATATGATGCTGATGAGATAGATATGCTGCACGGAATTTTTTCATTGCCTATTTTTCCCTTCTGGAACAAGTTGGTGAGGATTTGCAGCTGAGTTTCTTCTCCAGTAACGAAATATTTACCGGCCACACCGAAAACTTGGTTGCTCGACCGACAGGAGAAACTGTGTGGTGTTTCACTACAATTGTAAGCTGCTTTTCACTACTCGCCGTTTTGTCAGTAGTCGGTGAGCTACTCGTTTGCAGCCTCTACCGGTAATCCAGTAGGTGTCCAACCTCTACTCGGAGGGCTGAGTAGCACAGAAGAGACTATGGAGTACCGAGACACCTGGCCCCCTCTAAAATAGACCACATTTGGGGTCCAACAAATTAGTTCCAGTCAACAAAATGTTTTGTTCTCGGAATAGAGTCGAAACCTTCAGTTTTATGTAAGGATCGAATGCCTCGAGTCCAGCAGAGCATTCCGTCACTAATGCAACCAAGCCTAATGAAAATGGAGTCGATTGCTGCAAACCGAAGTGAATGAGTTGCGCCTATATTTCAAATGAGGTATTTTGGGTTTTTCAGCCTAATAGACTGCTTACCGTTGCTATGATACTGAATGCTTTTGCTGATCAGTAGGCCTTCAGAATACTTGATAATGGTGACAAATCACAATGGATTTTTACATTATTTCCAAGCAGTAAAGATTGGGGAAGCCAAAAGACTTTTGACTCCTCCAGACGTCCCGTTTGCACAACCAAAATGAAATAATAAAACCCAGCTATTTGATGAAACACAATGGTGACTTTTCATACCTGCCTTGAAACGTATTATCACTAAAAGGAGATGTGATTTAACTTCGTGGTCAAGTGCACTAACGGACCGTTAGTCGGGATACCTAACTGACTGAATGAAAACATCTCTGATCGTAGGCATTGTAGTA